AGAAACTAGTTGAATATATTTAATACAGAAAATGATCTATCATGTACAAGTTTAAAACCATCCAAGTTATGGTTCACTCTGATGTATCGTTTACGTTTCCTGGTCAGCGCACGAATGATCTTGCTGTTGCGGTATAAGGACTTTATCTCTTGATCCGTCAAGGGAATGTTGGCAGTAATGGTATGTAACAGTGTGGCGATCGCCCTAAACAATTTCGACAGATGGGAAAGTATTGTTTTTCGCTGTAAAGGCTTAGGCTTACTCAATACTTGGAGAAAATCCACATTTTCTCGAAAACACTCATAGTGCGTAGTAAATCCTTTATGTAAATGTAGCACGTTGGTCCACCTTATAAATAAGGTAGGTCTACTCCAGCAAGCAAAGCTTCATCAAGAGATTTTATGCACGCTTCTTTCGATGAAAACCACGTCAGGCTCTTTTTTTAGGTGATTACTTCGGTTAGTTAAGAATTTAAGTCACATCTGCAATATTTCAGACATATCGTGACTAAAACAAGGCATAGATATATAATGATTAAAATATAAATACCTGTCAACGAAGGACAGTAAAACAACTAGATTATCACAGATATATACTTCAAACTTGTAATTAATCTAAAACAGTTTAACTATAGAGGACGACATAATATAAAACAGACTATAGATCGCCAACAACTGAAGATAGATCACCATAGCAGGGACCGTGGGGACTTACAGTACCTTTGCTACCTGCATGGACCCTAGTTGGATTTGCACCATCCCTTCAGTCCCTGGCGATTGTAGGAAAATTTAGCCAAAATTAAAAGAACATATATACTACGATTGAAAGTAATAGTAAGTTTAAATTTACCTTAAATGCTTTGGGATTTACATACCCTCTCAGGAGGACAATACTTTTAAAATACTCCGACCCCCTTTGAAGGTACAGCCACTAACAATCTCAGTTACTAATCTAAACTACCAATAATAAAATATTTATCTATTTACAAACCACGTATCAACATGTATCTAGTAATTCTATTTCTTTTTACAAAATCATGATTAAATGATAATTAATATTAAAAAGATCCTTCACTGTTTTGACATCGACATATTTATCCCTTGTGATAGAAAAATCAATACAGTCATATGAAATTAATTTTTAATTTTAATGAGTACATCTAGAATGGCCAATACGACATCGTCGCATGATGACCTCTTCAAATCTGGACTTACAACCCAAGTAGGTGTAACCGATATTTGGTTTTATTTCAAGTAATTTAATTATACCTTCTTGGGTGCCCCACTCCTTTTGCATCAGATCACGGATGTAAGTTCTAATGCTAGCTTGGTAATTAGAGGATCACTTCAGATGCAGGGTAGCTCAAGATTACAGACAGGATAGGGAAGGGTGGGTTACACACGATCTTCCAAAACTAAACCTTGCTCACAGCAGGGCTGCTCTAAGACTGACAGTCTACTACTGAGTGTTTCGCATTTTATTTGGGAAAATAGTTGGTGCAATGCTCGCCGGGTAGGATACTGTAGTGTAGGCGACCGTATTCCGGGTAACTCTAGGCCGAGACGTCCACGACTAAATAACCTCATTTCCTCCATTACACGGCATCCTTATAGAATTGCGAAAAATACTTGCTTTGTCTTAGAAAGCTCTGAAAGGCCAAAATCTTACATTCGTGGGAAGAACGTGAATATCTCATTAATAAGAACATGTACGTATTCACGCTGAGCGTACTCATACAGGAACCTTTTGGATAGACGTATTGAAGCAGATTCATTACAGTATGGTGAGCGAGTGAGTTAAAATTTTACGTCACATCGGCAATTTTTCGGCCATATAGTGGCGAGAAAAAATTTGGTTTAACTATCAGAATTATCTGTCTCACAGGACAGTAAAACATCAGCAAGTTATCACAATTTGAATAACAAAATAACCATTTCAATTGATAAAAGATCAATACTACATACCAATAAAATACGAGCTATATACCACCATTCACCAAAGCCAGACCACCTTACTGGGATCATGGGGACTTACAGTACTTTGGCTTCCTGCATGAACCCCAGCAGGATTTAAGCCATAACTTTGACCACTGGCAGTCGTAGGCAAGCTAGCCATAAATTAAAACATGTCAAAATATGTGACCATAAAATACTGGTTATCCGCAAAGTACCACAATACCATTTAGACTAACATGTTATCATCAAAGGACAATCTTTTTACAATACTTCAACCCTATTAAATTACAGTTCTATAATAATATGAGTTTTATCAATTGCGTCAACCATAGTTAAAATACATTCATTCATTGCCACTAAAAAAGGCATTATTTTAGGTTCGCTTGTTTTAATCATCTCTATAAGGACATTATCAATTCCTTGATATTTACCATTTTTCATATGCCGTATAGCCTTGTGAATTTCTTCCTCAGTTATAATGGATTCAAGTATCTCCTTATCAACTTCACTCATTTCTACAGATTGGTCTAAATTGAGCAGTATATTCTGGTTCAGTTACATTTCTCCTATTGAAAAGTTCATAAAATGATCGTACCATCTTTCTTTAGTTATATCATTCGTATGGGATTTTAGCTTTGAAATCTTTCTCAGCTCCTCCAGAATACAGTGGAATTGTGTTCCTTGCAAGATATAGTGTATTTGTTTTGTGGTATTGGTATTTACGTTTCCACTGTCTACATAAACCTTTATATTTATTTCTAAGTCTACAAGACATTTCTCTAAGACATTTATGAAATTGTCGAAATGGAAACCCTATATCTGATACATTTTCAATGAAAGTGCTAGCGTGATCATTATTCCATCTATACTTGAATGTACTTGCACTCACGTCTTTAGTTACCAGTGTTTCACCTGGACCAGTGAATCTAAGGATCAAAGGCATGTGTTTACTTTCTATTCTATCTCCTACATCGAAGTTCGAGAAATACTTAAATAGTCCAGGTGATGATATAAAGTAATCAATTAGACTACAACCTTGTTCGTAAATATAAGTGAGCATTCCTCTAGTATCTCCTTCCACCCGGCCGTTTAAGATATACAAGTTAAAAACGTGACACAAATTTAACAGAAATTTCCCAAATCTAGCATTTACAGGGACCGCTTCATCCTCGGGACAATAGTCATTAAAGTTTTCACTCTGGATATCTGGAGGCTGATTTCCAGTCCCATCCCGAGAATTTAAACCTCCACAAAGAAGTATATAGCAATCCGTAAGATAATCCACTTTTCTAACTTTTCGAACAGAGTAGTGTTTTCTGTGACTTTATAGTAAGAAGATCCCTTGGGGGGAGCGTATGCTACAAGAAGTAAAACATCATGATCTGTGTCTATAAGTCGCTTATCTAATCGGATACAAACTGCGTTATCAATATCAATAGGAACCCTCGAACAGAATTTCAGAGATGTTCTTCTTATAAATACATCAATACCTCCCGAAAGTCTGCCATATTCAGCTAGTTTTATGGCAGTACCAAAATAAACTTCAAAGTCACAGAGTTCAGGTATGTCAATTCACTTATCAGCAAATGTCTCTTGCAGGCATATGAAATCAAACTGGAGTAGATAATGCATAAAGTCACTGTCAACAAGTTTATTTAACAGGCCGTCAATATTCCAAGTAATAATCGAGAACGTTGCGGATTGAGGAGAAGAAAGATGACTGGATAAATCAGAGTCAAATGGAACATTCACATTCTCACAGCTGGAAAATCCTAATGAAGCCCGGCCGCATTCCTATTGCGATGAATTACGTCCCTTTTACGTGATCGTACGTTAGCGTTTGGTGTCGAAGAGCCCGTAAAATTATATATATGCGCAAAGGTCTTGTTCCCGATATTTGGTTGATTTCCTCTGCATTTGATTTCACCACAGTAACCAGTCCTGTTCAGCTGAACAGCATTATCTGATTCCGCACTGGCTACAAGTGTTCTTGTTTAAGGTATCTATAACAAGATCTTTACAAGAATCATAGGATTCATGCTCACTTTCCTTTATATTATAAAACACCACATTATCTCTACCGATGTGTGCCTCAAGCTTGTCTAGGTCCTCGGCCTGCTTTTCTAACTTGCATTCCACTGATTCCAGTCTGGATGTGATTGCATCAATGTCACTGTAAACATTTCCTGCTGGTGCTCAATTATGTTCACATCATCACCAATAACTTTCACAGCACTGTCCAACTGATCAAATTTTGTGTGCACCCCATTTAGCTGAATTTTAATTGAATCTTATTCAGTTTTCATGGAACGTCTGAAGTCTTTTAATTCATCCAGTATTGCTGACTTTACATCATTTAAATCCGTCATGGTAAGAGGGCCTGGGTTGCTTTCAATGTCATTTGATAGCGTAAGTTTATCCCGCACAAAACTGCTGGTCACATAGAAGACATCAATTGCATTCTCAATGTGAGCACTGCCTCGATACGCTCCGCTGATCAAAGGTGTGCTACTTGTGACGTCACCCAAATGGCTCGCATGTAAACAGACACATACATGATAAGGCCCCCAACCTGATCGTTTACTGTTACAGGGTGTGGCAGGATCTGTTAATACACCCGTGAAGATCCGGGTTACAATTGATCTTCAGTAACCCATGCTTGTCGTAAGAGGAAACTAATGGGATCGGGTGGTCAGGCAAGCTGACTCTGTTCACACATGTCATCGTATCCCATTTGCGCAGATCGATGCTCATGCTGTTGATCACTGGATTGTCTAGTCCAGACTCAATTATTTACAGACCGCCGCCATATGACTGGTATATTCCTGTGAGCGGGGTAAAACTAAACTTACTCAATCACTCATTTTTTTCCAATAGTTTTTTTCCACCATACGTACCCACGACAAGATTGTACGCTCCCACTCCCAAACCGTGTTGCCACAACCAGTCTCTATTGAGGTACTATGTACTTTCAACACACACACCCTCTATTCAGCTTTGAATAGAAAGCTTGAAAAAGTAGGTCGGGATGTTGGTACTTGTTTATTTAGGGTTATTTTTATAACTTTTCAAATAACTTTTATTTCATGCAATTTTATGCTATGCACAGTTACTTATTTCCGTTAGTATATTTTAATCTGTAACAAAAATGCGGAGACTGATCAACACCTTGTGTCAGTGGATGTCCTTCTTTGGCAGAACGAGCATATCTTAAACGAAGACATATCATCGCTCCTTTTACTATCGTGTTTGCCATGCCTTTACTACTCCAGCTATATGGCGACAGTATGTAAATAATCACCTCTGAACCAGACAATCCAGTGATCAACATTGTCAAGTACAGTCTCGATTATGTATAGACCGGGTACGCAAGTCCCAAAACATTCCAAGTCAATTTAAACTCTCTACTTTTTTAATCGTAGAGTATGTGTATTTTTAATGTATGGCTAGATGTGTGTAAATTGCTAACAGTTGAAGGGATGATGTAAATGCAGCTAGGGTCCATGCAGGAAGCAAATATACTGTAAGTCCCCATGGTCCCTAGTATGGTGATCTACCTTCAGTTGTTGGCAATCTGTAGCCTGTTGTTATAGTGTATTGTCTTGTATAGTTAAAATGTTTTAGACCGCCTCCGTGGTTAGAGCGTCCATCCGGAGAGCGGAAGGTCGCGGGTTCGATCCCCGACCGCGTCATACCAAAAGACGTTAAAATATGGTACTTGTTGGTCCCTGCCTGGCGCTCGGCATTAATGGGTATAACAAGGACTAGTCGGCTCGGAGTCAGTATAATGTGTCTGAGTGGGGTATTCATGCTTCACTGCGGCGTGGTATCTCAGTGGGCTAGCACTATAAAACCAGCTTCAGTCTGGGCTAGTACAAGCAGCCGCACATACACATACACACGCATGCACGTCGTCATATGAGCGAAATATTATCACGCACGACGTTAAACCCAATTTCACCTAACCTCACCTAAAATGGTTTAGATTTAGTTACTAGTTTTGAATTTTTAACTGTGATAATGTAGTTGTTTTACGGTCCTTCGTCTACAGGTTTTTATAATTTACCTTTGATTTAGTCACGATGTGGCTGAAATATTGCCAAAGTGACTCTAAATTTTAACTCACTATTTATAGACCACCGCCATATAGCTGGAATATTGCTGAATGCGGCGTAAAACAACAAACAAACAAACTATATGCCAATTAAGGAATGCTTTTAGAGTAAGCTTAGGTTCTGTTAATAATATATTGCGACTCTTAATGAATCTATGACATAGCCTTGATAGGAACTCAAACGCCACTTGCTTATCTAATGCCTACATAATGCATGAATACTGTTTGTGCAGGTATATCTATTTCATGCTAATGTCGGGAAATGGTATATGTCCATTTAAGGCAAATATCACATGTTATACGAAACCCGGTTTGCATTTAGTTGATTGCATTAGGACCGACAATTTCAGTTGAAGGACAGTCTCGCATGCGAGGAGAATTACGGAAGAACGTAGAAACAATGTATTTTCACGTGAGTTATACTCGAGTGTCTTGAATGTTGTTTAGTTGTATTCAGACATTGATTATTTCTTTTTGCTTACATAAATCAGGCTACATCAATTTGTAAATATCGTAATGCCTCCGCTGCTTCTCTACACAGGGAGTGCAAAAATTCACTGATTGGCAGTGGAAGCTATAAAAATGAATCTTGGGGTAGTTTGCACGAACCGAAATGCTTCGTGCAATATGCTCTGAATGTGACGTGCGGAGTTTACAATCGGCTGTGTATAGTTCTTGAAATTTAGTTTTCTGCTAGTGTTCTAAGAGAGCAGTACGTTTATATTCCGATACAGTTCTGGCACTAGATAGGAATACATATTTCCTGAAGACAATGCCACCCAAAAGACAACTTTCATAAATGGAAATAGAGGAGATACGAGGTTTGCTTGGGATGATGTATGCCATGCTAGTGACAAAACAATATGGTGTAGGTACCACCAGGTTTTACAATATATGGAACGAAACAAAATGCAGATATGGGAAACAAAGCTGTAGAAGAACCTGCAAAATTGTTGTCCCCCACACATGTAGTGTCACCTACTATCCAAGATTTGTACAACCGTTTGGATGGTCTAGAAGAGTGTGCAGAGGAGTCCGCGAACATGTTGGCTCTAGAAGCTCTACATATGCTGCGAACCAAAGAAGAGGAAGCATCTAGTATTCTAGGATGGGAGGAAGAAGAAAAAACTGGAAGAGATTGTAGAAGAACAAAAAGAAACAAAAGAAGGCATACAAAATATCGGAAATATGCTAGAAACTATACAAAATTGGAAATACATGTCTATTGCTGCTATGGCAGTATGGAGAGTTGCAAAAAGCTACGTACAGACATGTTAGCAATAGCAAAGAAGACCAATTTGTACATCCTGCAAAGCAACACACTATTGCAACAGATTTCGTACAAAACAAAAAGATCCTTTCTTTATGGACTAGACCCCAAAAAAAAGTGTTGGACTACTTTTTCTCTCCGTTTATGTTGGACTACCTCTGTCTTCCGACGATGGGGCTGTATTGTTTACTGTTCTGTATACAAAACATATGTGGGTTTACATGCATGTATGCTGGTTGTCTGTGTCAATATGTGTTGCCATATGCAATTAGGGGCTCTAGAGACTGAATCGTTTGCTATTTTTCTCGAGTGATGCAGATATATCTCCAGCCTAATCGGGGTCGATGCCGACTGCCTTCCGCAAGAACGTATACCCACCATGGTCCTCTACAAAGTCTGATAGGTTATCACTGTGGACTGGCATGGGTTCTCCAACAATAAATAATCCCAGGAATGTTTGCTATGTGTATTGTCGGCCAGGCTCTCTCGGCCTCCATGTAGAATATATACCTGCGTTTTGGCCTTCTAGCCAAACCCCAACAGGTGTATGTTCCTTCAGGTATATGTATGGCCTGTCGGCAGGACTCTGGCGGTGGGGGTCAAGTCTTTCCATATTCGGAGTTGCTCTGCAGACAAGCTCGAGCCAGTGCTCTATAGGCAGTCTGTCTCATTTTTTGACTCTACTTGTCGATCCTCTTTCTTTACCGAAATGGGCGAGACTTTGCCAAGCCTACACAGAATCGGCCCACCAAGCAACCGTAGATTTTCTTTTCCACCGCTTGTGTTGAATAGTTTCTTGTAGCTTGTAGCCACATACCGGAATAGTTTCTCCAGTCGGCCAAGAGAGTAGCAGCAACAGACTGTTCTTCCCTTTGTATTTCGCTACTGCAAACATTTCGCATTCATAGATTCCCTCCGGAACGTCTGCAACTATTCTGTGTTTGTTGCACGACGGTGCTGCCACTTCCATATCCTTTGGCCAGCCATAGTTTGGCAGTGGGGTATTGCAAATATTTTTCCGTCCAGGTGGTGGGTCTGCTTTCCCAGCAAGCTGCTGGAAAATTCAAGAATCTATCTCGCATGTGCAATTGTCTACCAAATTGCCGAGTATGTGTTGTATCAAAGGCACCAGAGGATGCAGTCACTGTGGTACAGGTTCTCTGTGTCCGAGACACAGCCAGGGATCTCGATATCTTCTGGAACATCTAGTGGGAGTCGCTCCGGGGGTGTATAGTCTATATTCTTGTTTTTCCAGAGAACACATTTCTTGGTGCAAACGCAGTAGTCTATGGCGCCGCACTTGCAAGTAGAGTTGCCGTGGTCGAACATGGCAGGTACTTGAGGTATAGCAGCGAGGCAGTCAGTGCATTGCTTGTGTCTGTCCTTTGTTTCCAGGCAGTCGGCGAGAACGATTTGAATTTTGCCTGCTGCAGGTCGAGATTGGTTTGGTTGGTGTATGTAGACAAAATCTACTATTTTGCCGTCTTCTACTAATTGGCGAAAGCACAGCAAATATACTATATAGTTCGAAAAAGTGTCTGAGTATCTGAAACCGCTTGTAGAATGTGTATCCCGATGGCTCTAGGATTTGTTTCTCTTCGTAGAAAAGGAATACATGGGGACACTTCTTTAGCAAAATCTCGATAGCCTCAGTCCAGCTTGGACCCGTTGTGTCTCTGTGTGTGTTTATATCTTGGAGTCTATACTGCCTCGGATTTGCATATATCTGGTTTGCGATATCTTCTTCACCTCCCGAAGAGACATATTGCCAGATCGGATACCTTTAGTGCTTTTGGATTACTTTTGTGGGTTCGTGTAGTTGGTTGTGGGAGCCGAATTAGACCGAAAGGACATAATGAGAGGTGGAGGTACCTCCACGGGGTTTTTCTCCCTATACTGCTCTCCGATTTTCTATGGCCTAGGACGACTGACTTGCTGGTCTGAGGGAACATCGTCTCATCAGACGTCCCATCTTCACAGGAAGGCACTGACTGGACTGGAGCAAGCTTCCAGAAAACCGTAATTTGAAGACAAAACGTTGGGTTAATTGATCTGATGAAATGTCCTATCTTCCACGTGCTACCGACGGCCTTTGTTGCGTATGGATACGACGTAACAAGTCATATCACAAGGAGATGATCCAGATGTGCATACAGCAATTGTTTCATGTAATAGCCCAACCTCCGAACTGTCCAGACTATCTCTGTGACTTTTTAAGTTTCTTGAGTCTCATTTGTTTAAGAAAATATAATTTTCGACTGTCAGGCTATCCAGCATCTGCAAACAGAAAACATCATTTCTAAAATTTACGATTCACAAATAGTTCATCCAACGTGATGTGACAGCAGTTATCAGTTCTTTGCAGTTATCGTAGGATTTGCATCATACCAGACCTCAATCTCGCCTAAATGACCTTCAATGTGCTCCATGAACTCATATTTCCTGATTGTAAATTTCTCGAACTTAAATTCCTATTATTCGTATTCTCAGATTTAAGCATTGTATTCATGGTCATGGTATTCACAATCGGTTGTGGTTAGCTGCACGGTTATAAAGCCCATTAACAGTAGTGGATTACAAAAAAACACGTAAAACAATCAACAGAGTCAATGCTTGAGCGAGCAAGTGAGTGAGTTAAAATCTAAAGACACTTTGGCAATTGTGAGTTATTGCTATAGATTAACGGAGCACCTTTAGAATACAGCACCACAACTTCTCGTGAGGACGATCTCTGCCGTAGGTCACGTGTCATTAAGACAAGCAACCAGTTTGTGAGAACCCGTCGGACGCGAACCCGCGACCTTCGGATTGTTAGCTCGACAGCTAACCGACTGAGCTACGTCCACACTGTTGCACACTGTGCAAATTTATCGAGTCATTCCTGTGACGTCACGGAAAGAGTCGAATAGGTCACGGACAATTACGAATGCTACGGGTAGACTTGGTGTCATGTGATTTTATTCTACGGACAATTGCCGAATGGATCCGATGCCATTTGGCACACTCGTCCCATTCCGTAATCTACAAATTAACGTGTGGCGTGGAATGAGCCGATATGCCTCAAACGGAAAAGGGTTGTTGACGTCAGGCGTCAGACGTAGATTTCACGGTGTATGCATGAATGACGCGCTTTTATATAAATCGGTGATTTTGTGACAGAAAAGTGATGTAGGGAACACTGTAAGGATAATGTGGATCGCACTAAGGAACGAGGGAGACATGAGCATGTGTAGTGACGGCACGAGGGTGAGTTAGCCTTCGAATCATTACTTTACAAATTTTATGTTGCGTGTGAAAGAGGCTTCAGTGCAAATTCCAGGCCAATTTCCATTAGCCCAAAATTTCTACATTAACCCATTTCATAATGTACTTTCGACGTTTTTGGTTTCCTATTTTTGTGTGAAAAAAAAGTATTAAAATGCAAAAAAGGAAAAACAACAAATGGTACTCACGTATTACACCGGACATGTACCTACTATATTGGATTAGGTCCCTAACCCTAAACCCTAAACCCTCAGCCCTAACCCTAACCCTAACCCCTTGAAATAATCCTAATAAATAGAATGCATTGACCGAACCACCGGACATGTACCTACTATATTGCATTAGGTCCCCAACCCCAACCCTAGCCCTAGCCCTAGCCCTAGCCCTAGCCCTAGCCCTAGCCCTAAGCCCTTGAATTAATCCTAATAAATAGAATGCATTGACAGAACCGGCACAAACACGACTGACGTGTCTAGTGTAAGGCATTATTACCGCTTCGAAATAAAAAATACTAATAAAACACTTTTCTATGTTATGGTGCAACTTACTGAATGACAAAAATATATATGTAAATTTAAAAAATTACAAAATACGAAATACACAACACCTCAGCAGCCCGTAATACAAATAAATATGAGCGTATTAGTGAAAAAAGAAAAATATTTCAAACTGGTGCTTGCAAACTATTGTGCATCCGCCGGTATACAACTACTGGAAACTCTCAACATCGTTGGGCTTATGCAATGACATAGCTCGTAGAGATGAAACACCAGTGAGCGGAGCTTATACGCACTCGCTGAGCCAGACAACCGTGTTGCCATGCAGGCGTCATAGGGCATTGTTTCGAGATCGTGCTTTCGAACAAAATCACATTACATTACGTAAAAGGGTATTATGACGTATTTTTAAAGTTTGTGGTGCTGTATTCTAAAGGTAGGCCGATTAACAATAATTAAAGATAGTTTATAAAGTCCTGTCAACGAAGGACAGTACAAACAACTAGAATAACACAGATATAAATGTAAAACTAATAATTAAATCTAAAATATTTGAACTATACATGACAATAAAATATAAAAACAGGCTCTAGCTCGCGAACAACTGAAGGTAGATCACCATACTAGGGACGTCAATGCCTGAGTTTTGCAAACCGAGTCTAGAGCTATTGGGACACTAGCAACAGTCAACGTCAGGTGTCTGAGGATTCCGAGTGTGAGTGTGATTAATAAATCTGCTTGATCCCATGGACACATTTTTTTACAGATATATAAATGGAATCCTCTCTGCAAGCAAAATCTGTAAATTATTCCATAAAAGCCGATAAATTTTATATACATTAAGTGTGAGTCACCCAAAGTACGAGCGCTCGAAAAGGGAGGCGAGAGTGAGCATTGCGTAACACTAATGAAGAATGTCCTCCGAGACGGACTAAAGAAATTTGGCGCATGCGCACAACATGTCAACTCGCTATCGTTGAAACAAGAACTCAACGGGTTTCAGGCCCATTAATATCTAAATGTATGATCACAAAAATATGACAGTTACGTGTATGTATAGGGAAATTATCTGGGAGTACATCGATATCGACTTTTCAGTCAAAAAACCCACAGGAAATATATTTTAAAAATCTCAAGAAAATACGAGGGGTAATCGGCCACTAGAATCTGAATAGGATTTACGAAGGTGGTGTTCTCGGACTTAACTACCCTCTCAGGAGAAAAATAATTTTACAATACTTCAACCCCCTTTGAACGCTACAGCCACTAACAATCTCAGTTACGAGTTACTACCAATAATAAAATATGTATCTATTTCCAAACCATTTATCAAAATTTATCTAGTAAACCTGATCTTAAAACTGTCTCCATGTACATATACACGTGTATTGCTGTTTCGTAAAAGTATCGGCACACCTACTAAACACATAGAACCCTATCATGTTGATGATACGTATGAGTAACTTTCGTGATATTTATATTCACAGGTGATCTTGACACTGCTCTGGGCAATTGGGCTCCATTACGGTAAGGAAATGAACTTCAGTATGCGGATTGCAGCTTATATTACAAATGCAAGTGTTACAGAGTCACAAGAATATCTTCAAATAGCTTATTCGTCTTTCTGAATAAGAACATATAGGTAAGAATTCACTCATTGGCAATTGTGTTTGACGTACCCAGTGCTGCATAACCTCGTGCTGCTGTACTATCGCTTTGTCCCAGAATTTATCCAGACATACATTGAGTGAGTGATGGAGTGAGTTTAGTTTTACGACGCACTCAGCAATATTCAAGCTACACGCGGCGGTCTGTAAATAATCGAGTCTGGACCAGACAATCCTGTGATCAACAGCATAAGCCTCGATCTGCGCAAGTGGAAGTGACCACCCGATCCCGTTAGTCGCCTTTTACGACAAGCATGGGTTTCTAAAGATCAATATTCTAACCCGGACCTTCACGGGTCCCAGGCATACATTGGCCAGGATTATATGTCGTCAACAAGGTTTTATGACTTATAAACACAAACAATGCGCGCTTTCAAACCACACCCTTCACACAAACCCCTTCAAGAGATTATTAACACATCTAAAAACATAAATGCCCCTGTGCACGAAATAGAATCACATTTATTAACACACGATACTCCAGTACACGAAAACGTCACTGTAATTTCCAGTGTAGTACCTCAAAACACACATGCAGAACCTGATTATTATCATTGTGGGAAATTACACAGGTATAGTGCACATGCAAATCCCTGATGACATATTTCAAACAGGTAAACAGTGGACAGATTACACATATGGACATACCATATAGAAAATATGAACGGTCATGACAACTCAATATCTAGTGTGTCAGTGAGTGAGTGAGTTTAGTTTTACACCGCACACAGCAATATTCCAGCTATATGTCGGTAGTCTGTAAATAATCGAGTCTGGACCAGACAATACAGTGATCAACAGCATGAGCATCGATCTGGGCAATGAGGAACTGATGACATGTGTCAACCAATTCAGCGAGCTTGACCACCCGATCCCGTTAGTCGCCTCTTACGACAAGCATAGTCACCTTTTTGTGGCAAGCATGGGTTGCTGAAGACCGGATCTTCACGGGTTTGTGTGTCAGTGATTAGACTGACTGACTGACTGACTGACTGAGTTTGGTTTTACGCCGCTTTTAGCAATATTCCAGCAACATCACGGCGGGGGACACCAGAAATGGGCTTCACACATTGTACCCATGTGGGGAATCGAACCCGGGTCTTCGGCGTGACGAGCCAACGCTTTAACCACTAGGCTACCCCACCGCTCCAGTGATAGAGCAAATGCTGACTTTACCACAAATGTAGTAGCGGATATGAGGTGAATGTTGGTGATTAGTGCACACACAACGCAACGCTACTCGTGGTTGCAGATGACAGCAGTGTATATTTGCACGGTGATGACAATAATTAAATAGGAATGTTCAATAACCCTGAAAATATACATAAACATAATTAAGTATTTGATCATAAAAGTATAACACGGTTTATATACGCATTACACTTTCTACAATGAATGAATTAATTGTCGTTATTTCCCCCAATAATGTCGGAGAGTAATTATTACATGAATAATAATAGATTATTATATACAAATCATATTACATGGGAAAGAAAGTTATAGTTAAAGCATATGTATGTATAGTGAGTGAGTTGAGTTTGGTTTTACGTCACATCGGCATTATTCCAGCCATATAGTGACGAGAACAAGTTTGTGTTAATAAACATTGTAAGTACATACTCTGAATGAGTTTTATTTCAAAAGCATATATTCATTACATTGTCATTTCAAAACCGAAAAAGTCATAGCACCAAATTTAAAAGCAGGCAATTCGTTAGTCAAATTACACGGTTACAATTTATGATACAGATCAACTTCCCTCAGGTAGTTCACTATCAGATGAGCGCTCACGCGGGAGAACAGATCTTTCAGATTTGTTGCATCATAATGTGAGTCCCTTGCAGACGACAAGTCCACACAGTCAAGCAGAATATGCTTGATGGTGAAAACCTCACTGCAAGAGACACACGTGGGGGGTCAATCTCCATCCGTCTTCAGCAGATAGTCATGTGTAAACCGACTGTGGCCAATACGACATCGTCGTAAAATTACCTCATCGCGTCTTGACTGACAACCCAAGTAGGTGTAACCAATTGTTGGCTTCAATTAGTTAAAGCATATGTATGTATAAAACACTGGAGGTGATTGAATTAAATACGAATCATAGGTAAATCCTGCTCCTGGCATCAATGTCAATAAATTGGGCCCACATGTGGATGTCAATGTTGTCCACGATGAGGGTGATGCCACCAAGGAGGGTGATAACTCTGATGTCATCAGAGCAACGCTTCAGATTAATATACGTCTCTAGTGGCAAAATGTAGAACAATCGTTCATACATGGTATTTTTGTGTCTAAACAGTCCATTGCAGTACAATAACTGGTGATGCACAATATCATCGTTCTCCTCATCACATATAAGACTGACCTACTCCAGCACTGATCGGTAGCATAAGTGTAATATATGCATTACACTTTCTACATATTCTTAGAGTGAGTATAGCTAGCCCTGGCATAGCGCTAGCATAACTAATTCTTTAAATATACATAGCATGATGAAAACTATTCATAAATTCATATCATTTATGACGTTCCATTAATATATTACAAATATATATGAAGAAAATATGTATAGTTTAATATATACAAGTTCATATACTACACTTACCACTGTGTGGCAATGAGTTTAGTAATCAAGGATGATCGCTCAAGGATCACGGGTCATTCTATAAAAAGTTAAAATACATACCTAATAAATAAAACTCCTAATAATGGTATATGAAATAAGTTATAATTAAAACAACAAATCTCACATCAACACCTTACTATTTCAAACCGCATTCATACGATTATAGGTTCAGACAATAGTTAAGTTATCATTTAGTTTAATTAGGCTTAGACTGATATTTACCTACCATAATCATACGCCATGTTTAACGTAAAAGGAAAATTGATATTTAATTTTGAAGCTTAGATAAATTACACTTAAATTACACATCCAACCGTCTTGATAGTTGAAAAGCCAATAGATACATGTACTTGCACACAATAATCTAATACTTCTTTAAGAAATACACTAAATACAGTACCACAAATACACATACCACATACAGTGAAACCTATCTAAACCGTCACCCCACGGGACTGAAATTTAATGCCGGTTTAGACAGGGTGCCGTATTAGACAGTTCCACTCTTGTTGAGCTATCATCTTCGTCCTCAGAGGATACTGGGTCATTGTCAGGTTTACTGGCTGCTTCTGTCACTAGTTCGGCTTCCAAGTCGCTCAGGTCTGGATTTTCTGTCGGGACATCCGAGTCACAAGAAACGAAATCGGATGTGGTAACGGCGCTTTTGATGAAAGAGACCAGTGTGGCAAGTGGGATGTCGTCAAGTTCGTCAAATTCTTGATTGATTTCGCTGTCCACGTTGTCGTCTGGCCGAAAGCTGCACATGAGGAAACATCTATTTATCGTCTCGGGTGTTGTCTCCGCCGAAGCTTTGGAAGTCCAGTTAACAGCATCAAGGACTGTGATCGCTTTCGCCAGTTCATGTGCAGAGGAGGAGTCGTCAGTTCTTGCTACGAGGGAATATAAAAGATATCGAGCCTTAAAAGCTCTGATGATACCCTGTTCTAAAGGTTGTAAGACGGATGTGGTGTTCGATGGCAAAAACAGTATCTTTACATTGCTAAGTTCGACGCCATGGCCATGGGAAGGGGCATTGTCCATAAACAAAGCAATCTTCCGTCTTTGTTTTCTTATCTGCCTGTTTACCTGCTCCAACGACTGACCTGACCTGGATAACGACTTTGTTGTTGATAAGTTTCTAACACAGAACGTTGTTGCAACTTAACACGCATAGCTTTTGAAGGCCTAATCATTACTTACCACTGACCCTTTTTTTATTTACCTGCTCCAACGACTAACCTGACCTGGATAAGGAAATCCTCATCACAGCCCAGCAAAATCCCATGAAAACATGCATTGTAGTAATCCAAAAGAAATTATCAGAACCCGACCTGACCCATTAGGTTGGCTATTGTTAAATGAGTAATAAATTACATAAGTGCAGGGATACATTTTACTCAAAGGGTTGTTATATCTTATCTGTATAGTTAAAAGCTGAAACCTATAAACTATCCAACCACTACATACAAATACTTAAAACTGAATCCTACAAACTATCAAAATAATTAAAACATGACTTGGCCACACATACATGCGGCGATATTGTTTCTCTGTGTAACAGTGGCACGACTTTGTTGTTGATAAGTTTCTAACACAGAACGTTGTTGCTACCTAACACGCATACGTTTTGAAGGCTTAAACATTCGTTACCACTGGCCCCTTTTTTATTTACAGTTGCACTACTTCTGGTTATGAGGGAACAGAGGGTTTATGTCAGAACAAAAACATCTTCAGTTACTTTCAAGGTAAAGGCATGTGGAGACATCAAGTTTCACCTGAATATGTTACAACCTGACGGAACTCTTATTTCCTATCAGTGCATACTGAGAGGATACAATGGGAAGCGTGGATTCATCAGATTGGACGACACATTCTTAGTGAAAGGGGAACCCGCCTCGTTGAGACATTGTCAAGAGTATCGTCCCTACTGGGCCAGCTGGGAGAAAGGAGTTCTGTCCAGTGGAACAGGCTGGACAGTTGGACAGGGTGTTCTGCTGGAGTACAGCACCGAGTTCACAGAACTACATCTACTGTGGATGAATGTCTTGTTTTGGAAATTTAAAGAAACACGTTACAATTTTGGTATGTATCCGTATGGGGCACGAGGTATCGATGATTAATGAGCATTCATGCACAGTCTGTATAAGAGGTGAGCAAGTGACAATAAGGTATTATATAAAGGTTAGGTCTGGTTTTATATGGCCAACGAACACACAACTATCTCCAGTTTTAATTACATTCAAACACAAGTGTGTCATATCATGCAGTTAGCTACATGAGTACTTCTAGTTATCCGAGGTTCGACACAAACGCCAAATGACTGTAATGGTACATGCAGAGACCAAGCATTTACTTCCACCATAGGTTAAACACAACAAAGTTTGACACAGCGATGTTTGGCCTTAAGTAAATGAGAGGGTTTGCATTCAGACACACAGCAGGAGGCAATCATTGAATAAAATCTATTTTTTTCAATGACAAAATTTATACCAGAAAAATTTGAAGTAACCTGTACCTGCGGCAGACATACTTTATCAATATAAATGGAAATTTTGAATTTAAGTATTTTTATAGTAGCATGACCTGATTTATATCAGTAAGCAATCAAGAATTAAACTTTCATGAATGGGCGACCTATTTTCATCTCTATTTGGCAGCGATTCATAAACGCATGTTTTGTCATTGTAGAGATCCTAATCACTGGATCGTCGGGTCTGGAGTGAGTGAGTGAGTTAAAATTTAAAGTCACTTTGGCAATATTTCACCCATGTGAATAAATCAAGTTATAGATTAATAATAATTAAAGGTAAATTATAAAATGCTGTAAACTAGATTATTACAGATCGAAATTCAAAACTAGTGATTAAATCTAAACCATTTTATTTATACATCACAATATAATATAAAATCAGGCTCTAGATTGCCAACAACTGAAGGTAGATCACTATACTAAGGACCGTGGGGACTTGCAGTACATTTGCTTCCTGCATGGGCCCTAGCTGGATTTCAAATCTAGCCATACATTAAAAATATTCTACGATTAAAAAGGTGGATTTACACCATCCTTTCAGCTGTTAGCAATTTTAGATAATCTAGGCACAAAATACAAGAACATATAACTACGATTAAAAATATTAGTAGGTTCAAATTTACCTTGAATGTTTTGGAACTTACGTATCCTCTCAGGAGGTCAATAATTCTACAGACTTTAACCCCCTTGAGGATACAGCCACTAACAATCTGAGTTACTAATTTAGACTTCCAATCATAAAAATTTACCTATTTACAAATCATTTAACAAATCTATTTCTTTTAAAAGGCAATAACTAAATGAGAACTGATATTATGAAAAAGATCCTTCATAGTGATTTGAAATAGTTATCCCTTGTGATGGAATATTCATGGTCTAGAGTGAGTGAGTTTAGTTTTACACTGCACTCAGAAATATTCCAGATGGCGACGGTCTGTACATAATCTGATCAAAAGCATGAGCATCGATCTACGCAGCTGCGATACGATTACATCTGGCAAGAAAGTCAGCGAGCCTGACCACCCGATCCCGTTAGTCGCGTCTTAAGGCAAGCATGGGTTGATGACGACAAATTCATCCACATGAGAAGAATTGCCATAACACTGTGACACGTGCGTATATTATCAAATGTCATAGCTTTTGATGGGGAATTCATTAATCACATGCTCTGTCCTATTTCAGATGATCAAAACGCAGCATTTCTAAAAAGAACACCACGGTTCCTGTACAAGGGCCGAACATCCTATGTTGTGGTCACTACAAGGTCAAAACTGAGATGTGCCGTGGCCTGCCGAGAAGAACCACGATGTGCGGCCATCAGTTACACACGAGATAAACATCAATGTCAGCTGGTGGGACCATTCAAGGCAAACATACATGTATCTTCTGCGGAACTTCTGTTGGTTACACAACGATACTAAAGATTCCACCTTACATCCGCGTATACAGTTGAACCTCGCTCATCCCCACATACGTTTTCTGCATACAGTCTGGATAAAAAACAACAATTCGGTGTTTCTGTTTCCTGTTAGCATGTTTTAATCTGTAAAACAAAATGCTGAGACTGCCCAACACCTGATCAGCGGATGTCTTTCCTTGGCAGAAACAGTATATCGTAAACGAAAAAAGATATCATGAGTCCTTTTTTTGTCATGTTTGCCATGCCTCGAGATTTAACGCCGAGATCCATTCATTCTACGCTGTTTTTGTTGTTGTTGGTTTTGTTGTTGGTTTTTGTTTTTTTGTTTTTTTGGGGGGGTTGTGTGTGTGCGTGCGTGCGTGAGTGAGTTTGGTGTTTAATGCCCCAGTCAGCAATATCCCAGCTAGCATTCTGACGTTGGCCCAACGTCACCACTTACGTTGACCCAACGTAATCGTGACCGTCGGGCCAACGTTGGCAAAGAAACGTTGCCCAACGTTGGTTCAACGTCTGTTTCATTCCTCAATACCTCTTACCTACCCTGAAATGTTTGTACAAATCTCGCAATACTATCACATAGCACGCAATACATTCTTCAAGTTGAATTCACTCTCTCTGTCTTAGCTGGACACCACTGGACAGCTTTATGTAGGCTCAAGAAAAAATTAAAGTGTTTCTGAATACAATTAGTTAAAATATTATGCATATTTCAAAACAATTTTCAAGTCTATATTTATCACAAACGATATTAAAAAATAGTTGATTTTTAAATAGAAAACCATTAGGCAGCAGACCCTGGACGAAATCCCAACACAATGATTTGAAACATTAAAATTTTTCTTGGCCTTACCCCACACATTTAACACCAAGGGCCAGAGTGAGAGCAGCAAAATAGTCTCTGCATCTGATGCCCCACAATCCATTTTCTTGATCAGTTAAAAGTTTGATTATGACAGCAACAAAATGAACAACAGATAATTCTGGTTTAGATTATCTTAATTTATTTCTTAAATTACAAGTCAGGACTTGGACTGAGTGGCAGGGCATCCTTATATTTTCAATTATCACATGAGGAGGAGAAAGAAATAATCACAGGAGATCATCTGTATACAAGGTCTGTGCTTGTGCCTTGGCCTCTGAAAAAAAAATGACATAAACATCTAATGACTTCACAAGACATCTATTATTGATGTAAACAAACATTGGCTCCTTTTTAAAACATCAATGGATATATGGTGTCACTGAATCACAGGAGAAAAATACTTAAATGATTTGGATATATCAAGTTTTAAAATTCAGTTTTTATTTAGATATTTCATTCTGGAAGATGTTTCCATTTTTTTTGCATTGTGCATACCTTTTGTATGGGTACAGCAGTTGGAATCACCACTCCATGTTCTGTACTTCAAGTGACTATGCTGCCACAAACTGTAAACATCACCTGCAGAGAAACCACAAGTTATCACTTTCTTACTTTAACCAATGTAGATTAACCCCATTTCTTAAAAGAATGATGTAACTGGTGTCAGTTTAAGTATATATGGTGATTACTATAAAGCAGTAAATTTACCTTTCTATTGTATCTTTCATTCTATTAAACCTGGTAATTCAAATATAGAATAAATGCAAAATAATAAATGTTTTGTAATTATTCAGATGTTGGGGAAATTTGTAACATAGCATAGCTTAGATAATATCAGAAAATGTCGAAAACACAATGCAGTCGTATCAACTATATATGTTTGCATACTGAAGCGACTTTGTTTCCATAGACATACGTGTTAATTCAGTTTAGCATAAATAATTTTCATTGATTTAATTTTTGTAAGATGAAAGTCAAATTTTGCACATTCGTGAGGAATCATCTTACCTACGGTCACATAATTTCTGTTTACTTTTCTGCTGCTTATTTATCGAATGGCAACAATTATTTAAATAGTGGTCGGAAAATTGAACTGAAATTATGTGCGAAGAGCCAAGCTGATTTCACATTTGCCTGTCTGAGTGTCACATTTTACAAAGATTCATCCTAAACTCACTTCATGAAAATTATTTATGCTGCACTGAAATAACATGTTAGCCTATGGAAATTACGTGAAGTGTCCGAATATAACCGGCACTTGTCTGTACACGCCCAGACAGTGATCGAAAACTGAACTCGCGATTCGCTTACACCAGTGAAGCTCCGCACGTCGATTACATGGATGACTGCTACTGTATACAGTGCTCCGAAATCCGTACGGTGCCCGAAGTTCCGTACACTACATGTAAATAAATCTACTGATTAATCCATTTCATCAATGTTTTTGTCTCAAGCCGATACCTTTTCCGGTGTTTCCTGGTGTTATTTATAGGATCCAATCGTCACGCTATCACGTGATCACACGAACGGTTTTTATTGGTTAACTTCACGGTTGCCTGCGCAGGCGCGTTCTTTTCGCTCGCACTCGAGATTTTCGCAAGCCACGCCTTCGTTACCTTGGACACCTGTTGATTGATTACGGTATGTACAAAAAGTGAACACAGACACTGGAATATACAATAAAACGGCCAGAATGTTGTATATTACACACATTATGGAATAATGCATGCATGCTATACATTTACGAATTAAATGAACACAAAAACTACTTATTTGGAATTATTTAAAACTTCGCCATGTAGTCACCGGCGATACCACTGTTGGCATTTGACAGCAGAGCTATTGAGGGTGTATGAGCTGTCAATCAATGTAATATCCATGCACGCCCCCTATAGAGACACCGTTTACTTTATTTACAAACACTTACAAAGTGAAATGCAAAACAAATATTGCTTTTGTCTAGAAATTCAATATTTAATAACATATAATTCAGTATGTACGGTATTGAGCACCCTGTACGATATTGAGAGGTTAGGTGTACGGTATTACAGTGATTCCGTACGGCATTAGGGGCATAGAGGTTTGCGTGGAAAAGTTAACAGGGATGATAAACTGAAACCCGTATAATGAACCGGTTGCTATATTCAGACTCCCCATTGGATGAGCTTCATTCTGGTATATGACATTCCAAAACTGGTAACGGAAGTAAGTGGCGCATTCATTTAAGGACCAAAACCGTACGTACTTAGGAGCACTGACTCTAACTGTAATATGTTTTTACCGTTGCCACAATCAACCATCGTATAACAAATGCCACTATCGTGATCATTCGGTGGTCATGTAGGTGGATGGACGGCTCGTGATCTCCGGACTGTATTTCAAAGTTAGATCCACACTACAGCGTATTTACGCGCGATACAGCGAGCAGGCGAGGGTTACTCGCCGACTTGTAAACTTTAAACTTATATGCACTCTCGATCATAACCAACTTATTGATACTGACAAGCTCGATTTTCTTTTGATGCTTGAATGCTTGATTTTCAAAGCCACCAGTGTGATCATATACATGTACTTATTGGGCTTCAGACATGAATTTCCTTTGCCGAGAACTGCGATGTGGTCATTTAACAGTCATGGCATGTTTTCAATTTCAAGTAAATAATCATTCACGTTGGTATTTCTGAATGAACCATGACTGTTTTTCGGTGGGCACAGTTCGGAAATAGAGTTGAACATAATGAAAACAAAAAATGAAACACTTACCGCTATATATTCGAGGAAACCTGTACTCCGATGGCCAAGCTTGTTATCATGTCGCGTCGTGTGCTCGAAGAATCTGAGCGCCCTCTAGGAAAAGCTAACAGTTTGGAGTAGCGTCCCTTGAATAAAATATCCGCGATGCTTCCCCGATGTTGGGCCAACGTCTGGCCAACGTATGAAATCCGACCGCGACGTTGCCAACCATTGCCAACGTTGGGCCAACGTCGGAATGCTATCTGGGATTCCAGCTATATGGCGGCGGTATGTAAATAATCACTTCTGGACCAGACAATCCAGTGATCAACAGCATGAGCATCGATCTACGCAATTGGGATACGATGACATGTGTCAACCAATCCCGATCCCCGTTATTTGCCTCAAGCATGGGTTGCTGAAGCAGGTTCAGGTTACCAGGCGAGTAATGGCACCGTCTGGCTCGTTTTTAACATCATCAGCTCAGGGTCCTTACCCCTATTACACACAGCCCAGATGGCGAAAGAGACTTTGTCCAAAACTGCAGGTTCCGGAATTACCAAGAGATGAAAAGGACTGCAAAAAAGCATGGGAACTGCCACAAAGCCCATCAACAGATAAGGATGTACTTAACCAAAGGCACCGAGAACAAATGGGAGACGGCCAAGTTAGTACCTGGGATGAAAGGGTGACATTTCTTTGGTCATATTTTAGTTAGTTTCTGTTGTCCAGTATTTGGTACTCGTCAAAAGGCAACTTATGTAGAATTAATGTCATTCACATTCCTCTAGAAGTCATTGTCACTGGCCGAATTCAACTGATAAAGTATTCTCTTGAAATATTTCATTTGCTTTTCTCTAAATTTGTTTGGTGGCATATCCTAAAGTTTCTGCTCAGTGTGTAAAAAATTGGAAGTACCATGCTGTCAAGAAGAGTTTCATACTCTGTCAATACCTTGTTAGCTATGTTCATTAAAATGCGTTTATTGATGATTCAACAAATGAAACTAATTTTCTTTACCGATGACGTCATATTGCTGACCGATATATGGCACCGAAGGTTTCAGTTATTATGGGCAATTAGGTTAGCCGGGCATAACATAAAGTTTAGTCAGTGTACCTTGCGTCAAAACGGATTTTATTTGAGAAAATCACTCTTTATCAAACCAAAGACGCCACTGTTCGATGGCTGACAAATGACCATAAACACCTTCCAGCTGGATATTGTGTTTGTTGAGTAAAGTTATTGTAAATTTGTCAAAAAGCCCGAAAGTCTGGAAATCTGAATTGCATGTGCACCATATAATTATTTGCCAATCACCCGTGAAGATCCTGGTTACCCAAGCTTGTCGTAAGAGGTGACTAACGGATCGGGTGGTCTGGCTCGCTGATTTTCTTGACACATGTCATTGTATCCCAGTTGCGTAGATTGATGCTCATGCTGTTGATCACTGAATTGCCTGGTCCAGTCTTGATTATTTATAGACCGCAGGCCTATAGCTGGAATATTGCTGAGTGCGGCGTAAAACAACAAACCAACCAACTATGTGCCAATTAAGGAATGCTTTTAGCCGTACGCTTAGTTTCTGTAAATAATATATTGCCACTCTTGATGAATCTACGACATAGCCTTGATAGGAACTCTAACTCCTCATCTTGGTTATCTAATGCCTACATAATGCATGGATACTGTTTGTACAGGTGTTTCTATTCCATGCTGATGTCGGGAAATGGTATATGTCCATTTAAGCCAGACTCGTGGGTCAAAAGACCCCTCGAAGCCATCAAAATGAAATCAGTCGAATCGTCACCAGCGGCGGCGGCACGTCGCGATAAAACAGAGAAAACATTACCGGACTTATACCAGCCGGGCGAATACGAGGGACAGCAGAAAACGCGCACCGATCCTATATGTTCCATGAAAACGTACAACATCGACCTGGTTGACATCAAAGACGGCGAACCGAACTTGTACTACTTGAAAGACGGGCCGCCGAGAGCATTCGTCCGAGAGGAGTTGATTATCGTACCTCACGACACAGCCCCTTACACATCACCCGCCGTGTGATGATAGTTTCTCGTCATGATTTTTTGGTTAGGTCCCATACTGCCTACAGTTCCAAACTGCCTGCATCCCAAACTGCCAACAAAAACATTGTAGGCAGCGTTGGAAAAGATTTTTTCCCCTGTAGAATAATGGAACAGCCCGAGTATCAAGAAGGGATGCTTTGTTTGGAGTAAGGGATAGTTAGGGGGGATTATATTAGTATATACCTGTGCATCTACTTCTGTGTATAGTATGTTTTGAATCTTCTCATCCAATAAAGACTACAAGACAAGTACAATGATATTGTTTTATTTTGTTTTGGGAAGCAGTTAGCATGCTTATATTGTAACCTCCAAAGCAGGATTAACTTAATCCTATTTGATCAAGTTGGGTAGGCTTGTTTTAACTATGTTGTCACAGGCTTTGTCTGTCTTTGTCAGATTATGTCGAAAAACATGGTAAGGACTAAATTGTTGAGAAGATCTCATCTTCTCAGTTAATTAAACTCCTAATAAATTAGAAGGGGAACCAACTGCATCCATCACACGATGGCAAATGTTCAACGCGTTCAATTCATCACTTCTCAAGCAGGAGGACAGCAAGTTTTCTTTGATGGGTACCAATATCGCCTAAACGTCAGACGACAGACCACAACACATTAGAAGTGTGTACATTCTGAATGCAAAGGCCGCTGTTCTACACTACTGGAGACTTCATGAAATCAACAACACCGCACAACCATGTCCCAGTGGAATCTGAAGATGATATTCGACTCCTTAGCAGACTGCGTCAGCGTGTACAGAGGACGTCACATCCATTCAGCAGCTGTACGATGAAGAGTTGTCCGAGGTTGCTGACCCAGCGTCTGTACGATCGTTTTCGAGTGTAAAGTCCTCCCTCTACCGGCACAGAAGCAAAGTTCTGCCAAACCTACCCAAGTCTCTAGCTGATGTTCAACTCGAAGAACCATGGACTCCGACAAAAGATGGACAGCAATTCTTGTGCATTGATGATGGTGACGACGACGACGACAAGATACTGGCTTTTGCTTCAGAGGACATGCTAAACATGCTCCACAGTGCCCACAAGTGGTATATGGATGGAACTTTCCATGTTGCACAAGCCCTATGGGACCAGCTGTATGTCATTCACTGTATGGTGAATGGGGATATGTATCTATGTGTGCAAGCGCTGTTGCCAAATCGTACGAGGGCTACCTATGTCAGACTATTCACGTTGTTGAATGATGTTGTTAGGGACAAATTAGGGGGTGAACTTGCACCTAGTGAAATCCAGATAGACTTTGAGGTGTCAGCCATCAGGGCAGTGGAGGAAATCTATGAGGATTGTGAAGTGTGTGGATGCTTCTTCCACTTCACTCAGGCTGTGTGGCGAAATGTGGCTGAGAAAGGACTGACAAACGACTACAAGGACATTCCACAGGTGCAGACCCATGTCAGGAGAGCAGTTGCCCTTCCACTACTTCCACGGGACATGGTGCAGGACACTTGGATCGTTGCCATGGACGAAGGCCTGGAGACAGAGCAGGTCAGGAACTTCAACGACTACGTCACGAGTACATGGGTGGACTAATGAGGCACGTTTTCCGGTACTGATCTGGAAGCAGTATGGAAATATTGGCCCGCGGACTAACAACCACCTTGAGGGGTGGCACCTGAAGCTGAAAAACCTTATTGCCAAAGCCCACTCAAACATCTACCTCTTCATCTGCAACATCAAGAAAATCGAAGCCGTAGACAAAGCTAAACGTGCTCAGCTCGACTGTGGTGCCCTCCCCAAGTCACGCAAGCGTGTTTACAGAGAGCTCGATGCGAGACTTCTGAGTCTGAAGGAGCACCTCCAGAGCGGCAGAAAAACGCCTCTGCAGTACATTGATGCTGCTGGACATCTCATCAAGTTTGCAAAGTGATTGTCAGTTGTGTGTGAAAAGACTGTAAAACCACTGAAAGACTGTAAAACCTATCAGTTTTTCATGTTAAATCCATGTCTCCATGTAAAGTCTGAAAATTCTCAAAATGAATAAAGATGTCCTACCAACCAACACTTGTCATTTTTTTAAACTCCTGTAGGCAGAGTGGGAAGACACCATAGAATTAACCAGCTAACTAGTCAAGTTCATTTTAGCAGGGGTAGAACAGGTCAGATCGGTGTATTCACTTCCCGATCACTGGATCGTATCATGTTGTTTTAACCTGTAGGCAGTACTGTAGGAATAGGAACACCGATTTTTTATCGGTCTTGCATGCTTACTTTTCTGCTTAATGTAGCTGCCAGCCACCAGTACACCAAGCCGAGAGAGACACACACACTGCGACTCGTCCGCCTGTACAGCGCTCGGATGAGCAACCACCCCCGAGGCGACCTGAGCCTTTTTCCCAACCGACCCCATGCTTACTTAAAAGTCAATATTTCAGAAACTATTCGACCTATTTTCATCAAATTTTGCATGCACCTCAGTAGTAGTATACACCATGGGGCTACGGGATTAGGGATTTCCCAAGGGCTCAAATTTTAAAAAATTATATATATATATTAGTATATACCTGTGCATCTACTTCTGTGTATAGTATGTTTTGAGTCTTCTCATCCAATAAAGACTACAAGACAAGTACAATGATATTGTTTTATTTTGCTTTGGGAAGCAGTTAGCATGCTTATACTGTAACCTCCAAAGCAGGATTAACTTAATCCTATTTGATCAAGTTGGGTAGGCTTGTTTTAACTATGTTGTTACAGGCTTTGTCTGTCTTTGTCAGATTATGTCGAAAAACATGGTAAGGACTAAATTGTTGAGAAGATCTCATCTTCTCAGTTAATTAAACTCCTAATAAATTAGAAGGGGAACCAACTGCATCCATCACACAATGGCAAATGTTCAACACGTTCAATTCATCACTTCCCAAGCAGGAGGACAACAAGTTTTCTTTGCTTAATGTAGCCAGCCAGCCATACACCAAGCCGAGAGAGACACACGCACTGCGACTCGTCCGCCTGTACAGCGCTCGGATGAGCAACCGGCCCCGAGGCGACCCGAGCCTTTTTTCCCCGACCGAGCCTTTTTTCCCGACCGACCCCATGCTCAAAAAAGTCAATATTTCAGAAACTATTCGACCGATTTTCATCAAATTTTGCATGCACCTCAGTAGTAGTATACACCATGGGGCTACGGGATTAGGGACTTCCCAAGGGCTCAAATTTTAAAAATTGAGCC